CCCCCACTTTCCTCCCTCTTTCACACAATTATAATTATAATAAATAATAATAGTCAATTTCACACTCATATTCCCTCCTTATAAATAACCTCAAAAACTCAAATAATTCTTCATTCAAAATTATAAAAAAAAAATGTCTTCTTCATCTTCATTATTCCCTCTTCTCTTTGTTGCTATATTTCTTGTTTTATGTTCCCAAATTGCCCTTTCATTATCACCCAATTTTTTCTTACAATCTCATAATGATATTATTAGTCCAAAGAAACTTCAATTAACAATGGGTGAAAAATTGATTAGGCAACTTAATTTGTTCCCTAAACATGACATTAATATTGTTTCTTCAAAGGACAATAATTATGAAAATAAATTATTTGAGAAGAAATTGGATTTATCTTATCTTGGTGATTCTGGTGCCACTGTCCAAGACTTAGGTCATCATGCTGGTTATTTTCCTCTTATAAACACTAAATCTGCAAGGTTTGATTATTTATCTTACATAATTATATATTATTGACTTTATTTATTAGAACAACGGTAAAATTCTTATCATGTATATAGTTACGAGTTTGGACCGTGAAATTAGCGGTTATTAGATTATATTCCTCGAAATGCGATCTTTTTTTATGAACCTTGTGTGAGTGTGTAATATTTCGTACTCCGAACTATCCCTTTTTCTTTTTTGGTTTAAAAGTAGGAGCCTTGAAGCAATGATATAAATTGTTTCTCGCTTGACCTATAGGTTATTGGTTTGAGTCATGTTGCGTCAAGATAGACTGATTAAATTACGTCCTTGTGGGATGCGGTCATTTCCCAGACCTTGTTACGGACAATATTTCATGCATTTTATTTGTTCTTTTTTTTAAAAGAAGAATCTTGAAAGAACGATCTAAGTAATTAGTATATTCCTATTAAAGTAGGATAATTAAATTACATCTCCTTATGACGATGTAATTCTTTTTTGAACCCAATATGAATGTGAAATACTTCCTCTACTAAGCAATCTTTTTTTTTTTTTGCTTCGAAAGGAGAGTCTAAGAGTACATATTAAAGTTATCTTTGTCTGACCATTAATATACAACTTACATTAAATACTCTTGAGGCATAGTCTTTCTTCAAATCTACATAAATACGAGATACTTCATGTACCAGACTATTCTTTTTAATTAATGTAATTTATTTTGTTGTAGGATGTTCTATTTTTTCTTTGAATCAAGGAGTAACAAGAATGATCCAGTAGTGATATGGTTAACAGGAGGTCCAGGATGTAGCAGTGAATTGGCATTATTTTATGAAAATGGACCTTTTAAAATATCAAAAAATATGTCTCTTGTCTGGAATGATTTTGGTTGGGACAAGGTAATTTTTTTGGATTTTTCCTAAATTAATACATGATTTTATTATCAACAAATTCATTTCAATTTTTTTTTTGAATATCATGATTATTTTATTCGCAACTTGTTAATTATTGATTGAATTTTTTTTCTTCCATTCATGTAAAGTCATTTTTTTTTATAGCTGAGAAATTCGTTTGTAATCCGCTTTTTAATCAATCACACCTTTCATGCGAAGTCAATTTTTTTTCACCAACTAACTAATCTTCTTTGACTGTTTTTGCTATTCATTAGTTGTGACTTAAATTAGAAAGAAAAAAATTTCAAAAATCTTGAAATCTAAAGTAGTTCAACTATTGTTATTGACTTATATGGTTTTTTTTTTTTTTTTTATATATATATAGTGCTCTATTTTCATTTAATTGTCTCCACAAAAATTAAAAAGCAAATGCTTTTTTGTCAAAGAATCCTTTTTTTAATGGTCAAGAATAAATAGTCTTGAATTAATCATAAAGTTATCTCTAAAAACAGAAAATGACATCGTATACTTAGAAGACTAAATTTTATATTTTATGTGTTAATATATCCTCTCAATTTCTTTATATATTTGAACTTAACCAAAAATCTAGCGATAGATTTGAGCTTTGCAACTCGTAAAGACAGAACGCTTTAGGTATAAAATTGTCTTTTATTAAAAAACAACCACTCCGTTTTAAAAACGATTCATTAATTAGGAATAAGAAGGATTTTTTGACGGAAAGCCTTTGAGCAATAACAAAATTATCTCTGTATGATTTATAAATTTCATGCTCAAACGATGAAATGAATCACTAAATGTTTGGATAGGTTAGCCTGCATTACACCCATTCACTATTTGTACTAACTACATTTTTTAAAAAAAGAAAAAGGATTTTACTCATAAAATAGTTGGTATAAAGAATTTTTACACTATCAACGTTCAAAAGTTAAACTCGGAAAATAATATTTCCATTTACTTGTTGCGAATCGACAGGTGTCAAACCTTATATACGTTGATCAACCAACTGGAACTGGTTTCAGTTATACTTCTGATGAAAGTGACATTCGACACAATGAGACTGGTGTAAGCAATGACCTTTATGATTTCCTACAGGTTTGTTCCCTTCACCTCTTCTCGGTATTTCTCAGACTCCACTTGTGAGATTACACCAGTATGTAATCCGTAAAAATACGATGTATTTTACGATATGACAGGCCTTCTTCAATGCTCATCCTGAGTATGTAAATAATGATTTCTACATTACTGGAGAATCATATGCTGGACATTATATTCCTGCATTTGCTTCTAGAGTTCATCAAGGAAACATAAAGAAAGAAGGAATTCACATAAACCTCAAGGTACTTTCTTTCCTATAACAAGTCGTTTTTTCGGGGTTTTTTTCGACTTGTTTTGGTTGGACAATATATATTTACATGCTACTTTGATCAGGGATTTGCTATAGGTAATGGCCTCACCAACCCAGAAATCCAGTATAAAGCTTACACCGACTATTCTTTGGATATGAAATTGATCAATCAAACCGACTACGATTATATAAATCAATTATATCCAACATGTCAACAAGAAATTAAACTTTGTGGTAAGTCTTTATCCTACATAACACTAAAACAAGTTAACTTCGAAAAAGAGAAAGAAAAGAGCCTTAGAATTATCTCGATATTCTTGACATGATTTGTGTGAAAATATTGGCAGCAAGTGGTAGTGAAGATGCATGTATGAAGGGATTTAACGATTGCAACCTCATTTTCAACAGTATAATGGACATTGCTGGCGACATAAATGTAAGAACGTGCAACTTCTTTCAGTTTTTTTTTTCTAACGAGACAAGGGTGTCATATAACTATGAGCAAATATGTTTTTATAACAATCTGATGGATTTGTGATTTTTTCACCTGTAGTACTATGATATCCGGAAGACCTGCAATGGTAGCCTCTGCTATGACTTCTCGAGAATGGAAACTTACCTCAACGATGACCAAGTTAAGGAAGCCCTCGGTGTTCCCACCAGTATTGACTTTGTCTCGTGTAGTTCTTCCGTTTATCAGGCGATGAGGATGGACTGGATGAAGAATCTTGAAGTCGGTATTCCTCAACTTCTTGAGGATGGTATCAATCTACTCATTTATGCTGGAGAATATGACCTTATCTGCAACTGGCTTGGTAAGCTTCATTCACCTATAACAGAAAAGCGCAAAAAAATTCTAAAAGGTCCGTTAGGGGTTTTAAGTGCAAAATAAACCGTAGGCTTTAGTCCAAACTTAATACTAATAAGCATGAATGGCAAAGTGAAATATCAATTAGTGTCGCCTCTTCAGAAGAGGCTCATTGGCGAGGAAAAGTATGCCTTACAACCTTGATGACGACGCTGAAGTGCACATTAAGTGAGGCACAACGCTCAACACGCTTTTGAGCCTCGCTTAAGGGCTTAAGCACGCTTTTGACAACACTGATTAATCTAAACAGTGTCGAGTAAACTATTGTTTCTTGAAATGGACAGGGAACTCAAATTGGGTGCATGCAGTAGAATGGTCTGGGCAGAAAGGCTTTGAGGCTGCACCATCTGTTTCTTTCACAGTAGATGGTGAGGAGAAAGGTGTTCAAAAGAAGTATGGACCACTGATATTCCTCAAGGTCCACGATGCAGGTCATATGGTGCCGATGGACCAACCTAAGGCAGCACTTGAAATGCTTCAGCGGTGGACTCATGGCAACTTGTGAAGAATCAATTTATGAACCACACATACTGAAACAGATTAACAATTTACCAGCTTTATGATATCACCAAACATAGAAAATCATGTAGATACATTTCACCCTTTCAGGTGAATGTTGTTCTTCTAAGATAATTGGGTTAAGCATTATAACATATAGTGAACCACACTGTTTGCCCTTATAATTTGTTATTCCTATCTTGCATTATGTTGATCATGCCAGTGTCAAAGTAATTAATCATTTCGAACCTGTAAGGAGCACAGTGGTCGAAAGGTATTCAGGGGATAAGAAAAGGGCATAAACAGGCAAGCTATTCAATATAACAACTGACTAAACTAATTTTGATTCTAGCTTAACTGATGTTAAAAACTGGTTGTTTTCGTATTTTCTGTGCCTCAACTCTGGGGGAAGAAAACAGATAGATTTTTTTCAAGCAACAGAACATGTAAATAACACTTTTAACGCTGAAGTGAATTGATCAATACTTGCAAATACTTCTTCAGCGGTGATACTCAAGCAGCAGGATCGCAAGTTAAATTTTCACAGTCAGAGGATAAAGTTTTAAATAAACAACTGGTACAATTCCCCGATTCCTCGGACTCTGGTACAGGTTGTGCATTGACATACCAGACTTAAAGGAAATTCTACACTTAATATTGGACTAGCTTGAAAAAGCAAATATACCCTACAGGTCCTGTATGTTCAGCCAATTCAGCTAAATAAAGACCTAGATGATATCCGGGTTCCCTATTCCTCTGGCTCCGAAACAGACATTATTGACTTACCAAACTTGAAGAAAATTTCTCCACTTTGGAACGACCATATACTTGTCCCATGCATTTCGGTCTGTTAAACCAGTTCATTTACATCAAGATAGTTTATTTGTCTTAGATATCTTCATTGAACTGAACATATTGAACGGGAAACATAATCACATGTTTATTGATCTTGTTAGATGGCAGATCAAGTAAACTTTGATATGCTACCCAAGACTTAAATTTCACATTTCGTTTAAAGCTTTCATAAGATAGATAACTATAATAATGGAAGCAGACTCCATGGTCTTCTAAAATAAGAGTAACGCTTAAAGGAGAAAAGTAATATTTAACAAAAGATGCATTCATGTTCCTTTTGTCAATGGAACGATGGTGATGTACACAAACATTAAGCCTGCTTAAAAGAACATTTGACACACAAACACCTGAATGCAATAGCTATGAACCGCCTCTTGCTCGATATAGTTCCCTCAAGGTCTTGATCACAGGCTGAAAACCTGTCCGCAATGGAAAAACTGATACCACTCGTAGATGTCGTGCATTTCCATTCTTTGGTTTGGACAAGGTGATCTTCAACATCTCTCCCTCCAAAGCATTACCGGCAGCTGCAGCTGCATAAAAGAATTCTCAAAAAGTCAGAATCCTCTTCATATGGCCCAGCAAAACACTATAAGATGCAATTATAAGATTCTTGGAAAATTTTTTATGGACCATGACCAAATACTCTCTGTTCCATTTAATATGAGAATGTTAAGATACTAATTGAACTTATATATTACATTTAGAAATAGTAGAAGAAAATAATAAAATGATTGTTGGAGTATAGTTAGATGGAGAAACATTTCAACAAAAACATGAAACTTGAATAAGATTAATAAATTAGAAAACTTGAAAGTCAAGAAAGTCGTGTGGCAATAAAATAGCGTCAAGTGTCAACCATCTCGGGACATCTCCAAATAAAAAGAGTTATCCCATAAATTGGGACAGAGGGAGTAAGTTACATTAGAATTTTCAATTCCTACAGAAACATTACCCCATTATCTCCTACTTCTTTCATTTTTTTTTGTTTCATAGAATTCCTAAAGGAAAGAAAAATTTATAACTCTTGTTGATGACAGAGGGAAGTATAAAAAGTGTGATTTCATTTACTACTACAGTCAAACTTGTCTCTAACAGCATTTCACTATAATGGGCTAGGAACTGACTTTCATATTATGTTTAGTATACTCTCTACAGCATCTCATTTAGCAGCCAAAAATATCCTGCAAACAATACCGTTGACTTGTTTCAAGCATAAGTGAAATTGCCACTGTAAACTTCAAACTGGAAAAATGCAATTATAAAAAGTAAAACCACATACCCACAAGTGTAGTCTGGGGAGGATAGGATGTATGCAGATCTTACCCCTACCTTGTTTGTGAGGTAGAGAGGTTGTTTCCGATAGACCCTCCCCACTTAAGAGAAGTGAAATCAAAGCCAGATTGAAAAGAAAACAAGGATAACAAAATAGCAAGAGAAACAATACAAAATAAACAACAGGAAGTAGTAACAACAACATACCAATGCAAAATCCCATTGGGTATACTAACTAATACTACTAAATGAGGAGAGTAGACTAGCCCATTTCTCAACAACATAAAAGTACGACAACACTCGATTACTTACCCTTCTAGCCTAATACTTGACCTCCATACCTTCCCAAATCTTCAATAAGCTAAAAATATGTCACGTTTTGTCTAATCACCTTTCTCAGTTCTTCTAAAACATACTTTCACCTCGTCTAAAACCTACTATAGAAAATCTCTCGACTACTCACTACCCTTCTAACCTAATTCTCGCCTTTCATACCTTCCTTTGTAGGGTCATGCCGTAGTAAGCAAAATATGCGTCATGTTCTCTCTTATCACCTCCCTAGTCCTTCTTAATCCTACTTCCACCTCTCCTTGTGTAGGGTCATGTTGGAGTAAGCAAACTATGTGTCATGTTCTTTATAATCACCTCCCTAGTTCTTCTTACGCCTACTTCTACCTCTCCAGCTCTCCTTGTGTAGGGTCATGTCGTAGTAAGCAAACTATGTGTCATGTTCTTACTTCTTTCTAATCACCTCCCTAGTTCTTCTTAAGCCTACTTCTACCTCTCCTTGTGTAGGGTCATGTCGTAGTAAGTAAAATGTGTTATATTCTATCTAATCACCTCCCTAGTTCTTCTTAAGACTACTTCTACCGCTCCTTGTGTAGGGTCATGTCGTAGTAAGCAAAATATGTGTTATATTCTATCTAATCACCTCCCTAGTTCTTCTTAAGCCTATTTCTACCTCTCCTAAAAACCGCTATAACCAGCCTCTCACACATCTCCTAAATGATGCATCAGTGCAACTTTAAAAGATAAAAAGGGAGATTAATCAAAGTTACCAGCAAAAGGGTGAGTCTTGGCAAAATCAAAGAACTCATCAGCAGAACAACCAAACAAAACCCTAGCTGCCCTATCAAACATTATCACCACAACCACTCTTTTCTCAGTAGCTATCGACATCTGCAAAAAAAAACCCAAAATCACCCACAAAAAAAAATCAAATCTTTGACAAAAACCAACAAAAAAAGCATCACCATTGCAGATAACAACACGAAAAGAAAAAGAATAATTCACATACAAGAACACGAAAGAGGCGTTTGGAACCAGAAGAAGCAGAGTTAAAGTTGCAATTTTTGCAAAAGGGTATTGAAGATGATGATGAAGAAGAAGAAGAAGAATTGGGGATTTGGGTATTTGGAGAAGGGTCAGGTAGAGTCTTTTCACATATAGAACAAACTGTGTAAAAGAGATTGTTGTGATCAATGGCTACCACCATGGAATTTAGTGTTATTGGTTGTTTGTCATTGCTAGGTTCTTCTACTAATGGTCTTTTTCTAGGGTTCGTTTGGCTGTTGTTATTGGAGCTTTCTGGATTCATTGATGGAGTTTTTCTTGTTCAGAATATTCAGTTTGTTCAAGAAAATGGTACAGTGGAAGGAGAAAGATTGATGCTGTGAGTAATAAAGAACTTGGTTGGGGAATGGTGTGTTGGGTAAGGAAGAGAGGTAAAAATTGTATTTCTTTTTGGTCACAAATTAGGTTTTTAATATATTCGATGTAATTTTATAAAGAAACGAAGCCGATGGCTCTTTTAGAGTTTCTACATGTGAGATTTATGAAAAGAAAGATCATGTTATTTTTGCAAATAATTTAATGTACTATCGCAATTCAAATCTTTAAGTGAAATGTTGTCAAACGATATAAAAAGAAAATTTATGGGTCGACTTCATCATCCTCATTTGATAGGCCGAAAAATGATATGGATAATGGTGAGGCTATACATATTATTCCCAAGATTATTATGGAGGATCATGTTAAAGTTTAGAAAAAAATTGTCTAAAATCATATCATCAAAAATTATTTGACTAAAAACACGAAAAATCGTGTAAATTGCTAACTCCTCTTCGGTGGCCCTTAAATGCTAAGAAAATGATGTTGATCATTGTGATGCTATACATATTGTTTCCTCGGGTCATTATGGAGGGTCCTGTAAAGGTTTTGAGAAAAAAATGTTTGAAAAACATATCACCAAAAATTTTGTTGATTAATTCACATGAAAAACTGAAAAAATCGTCTAATTCTTGTTGTCCGCCCCCTAAATGCTAAAAATGTGATTCCGTTGAAGCTATAAATATTATTTCCCGAGTCATTATCAATGCTCCTGTAAAAATTTTAGACAAAAAGTATTCGAAAACCAACAATAAATTCATCGACTTATACACACAAAAAATTGTGAAAAATTACCATAAGCTTGTTGAATGATCCCTAAAAGCTAAAAATATGGTGTGGTAATGACAAGGTTATATGTATAGTTTTTGAAATTATTATGGAGAGTCCTCTAAAGGATTTGAAAAAAAAATCCCAAAAATTATATCACCAAAAATTTTATTGATTAACTCACACGAAAAGTTGAAAAAATCATATAATTCTTGTTGTCTGGCCCCTAAATGCTAAGAGATAGTGTGGATTCTGGTGAATCTATATATATTGTTCCCCAAGTCATTACCGATGTTCCTGTAAAAAGTTTAGTTTAAAATGTTTGAAAACAACCAATAAATTTATTGACTAATACGCACAAAAAGTTGTGAAAAATTACCAATTTACCATAATCTTGTTGAGTGACCCCTAAAAGCTATAAACATGGTGCGGATAGTGACAAGCAGGAGGGGAGGTACATGGGGCCGAGGGGGTTCGTTCGAACCCCTTTCGAAAAAATTATGTTGTATATATAGGATAAATTTTTTTATTTATAGGTATATACTAAGTGATGAACCCCCTGAACATAAGCAAAGGACTAGATTCAATGGTTAGGGAGTTCATGATTACACAAGGCTGACGCTTACTTCGCGAGTTCGAACTTGGGTATTTGCATCTTTTTTTTATATATAGTTTCAACTTTCAACTGTTTGTATTTTAAATTTCTAAATGTGTGAGTTCACGAGTTCGAATTCCTGTAATAACATTATTTTCTATAGTTTCAGCTGCTTTTTCTTTTCTATTTTTATACCATCAACTAAAATTTAAATTTAAAAAACACTCTCTCATACTCATTTTAAGTCAAACATTTCATTTATATTTGATTAAAGAATTATATAATTATAAGTAAGATTAAATTAATAGGTGCAATCATTTAAAATTTATAAATAATTATAGTTTTTTCGCGATATTATTCCGTCTTGATTATTATTTTTAATGCGAATTTTGTTGTCTTAATTGAATATATATATATATATATATATATATATATATATATTATATATATATATATATATACACACACACGCTCAATAATGATGAAGAAAAACCCAATTTTTTTTAAAAAAAATACATTTTCTGTGTACTCTTATGTCAAACATATACTTATTTGACTTTTATTGTTTATGTTGAGGTAGAGTTGAATTTTATTTAGTTGCTCAGATCAAATCCGACCTGTTTATATTTGATTGGCCTGCCCCATTTTTATTTGACCTGACCAACCCACTTATTTGTGTATATTATTAATGTGCTTACTTATTTTTTGAATCACTCGATGAAAATCCAGCCTTCACCACCGGTGAGAAGGTTGTATTTATAGTTTTCTGAAATTATTATGGAGCATGTGTAAAGGTTTTGGAAAGCGTCTTTGCCTCAGGTTGAATACAAAACACCTATAGATATGACATCAATGATAGTTTGTTACATGAAACTCCCACTTACACCACCAATGTTACTTCCAGCATTTGAAAGTCATCGCTTGGGGGTAGAACACTAGACTCCCTAATGAAGATCCTCAAGTGTATATTCAGAAGAACAAAAATCATGAGATATATAGAAATTGAATACTCTTTTACTCTAAGTATTACAAGAAACCATAGAGGGAGATAACTACATAATACAGGTTTGAAAATGAATTAAGATTTTACTCAATGTTTCAAACTTCAACCTTTTTTTCTTTTTCCATTTTAAAAATGTTATAAGTAAAAGGTGCAGCTCGAACTATAATCATCGATTTACGTTGTCAGTTTAACATTGTCTCGAAATATATATTATATGGTGTATGTAGATATAGTATAAAATAAAAACATGTTATTTGAAATGAACTTACTAGCATGACTAAAGAAATATTATCAACTACACTCTTTCATTTCAATTTTTTTTGTCTATTTTAGTTTGATATGAAATTTAAGAAAGTACAGATAACTTTTGAATCTTGTGATTTTAAACTAAAGATGTGTCAAATGTACTAAAATGTTCTTTAATCTTATAATTTTAAATATAAATTGTAAAAGGTTAGAATTAAATGGGGGATTAAATGATTTTGTCTGTATCACGAAAAAAAGTCAAGACTAATTATTTTGAACTTAAATTGGTAGATTATCTACATCTTGATTAACTACATATCCCTTAAATATTTACTACATAAGTAATCCATAGAGATTATTCAAAATTTAATATTTTCTCCCTATATTTAACTATTTGGTCAATTTTTATCCTTTATTTAGCGTAAAGTGGTAGAAAAAAAAAAGAGAAACCAAAGAAAGAGAACAAAAATATTTTCTTGTTTTCTCTCTCAAAATCATCACAGGCTAAGAGATGGATTGTGAAATAATTTGTAATGTAGATGTTCCTTCGGCCTATGTTGGCCTCAGAATTCTCTTAATTGATCCTGATCCAACTTCTTTATCAAATATAGCAGCAATTCTTGAAGAACATTCCTTTAAAGGTACATTTTATGTCTGTTTTAGTTTTCTCTCATATGCGTCAGAGCCTTTTCCCCTATTTTTTGTTAGATCTTCGAGATAAATTTGTACTTATAGTCTGTAGTTAAAGAAGTGAATTAATGTAAAATTTCATATTGAAGTTTGTTTTGTAAGATACATGAAACTTATCGATCGTATTTAATTTTTTTTTTGGGTAGATTTGAGTGTTGAAATTCGAAGAAGAAAATTATTTTATTATTGGAAAAAAAACAGATGCACATGACAAAAACTTTTAGTAAATTTTAACATGTGTTTCAGTCATGTATGACTAAGTGCAGATATAGATGAATAAATTACAATAGTGCTTAATAAGTTTGTTAGATTTTTATTATGAAAATATCGCACAACATACATAATTTTTTATATTTTCTTATCTTAATTTTTGTTAATAGTAACTGCGATCAAACAAGCCACTGTAGCTCTATCCATTCTCCGGGAACATATCGACCAATTCGACTTGATCATGGTGGATGCCAACATGCTTGAAATGGACTACCTTGAATTCGTCAAGTCCACTCAACTCATCAAAGACAAATCAATTATTTGTAAGACCATTTCCTCAAAATCTTAATTATTTTACTTGATTTAGTGTGTGCTATTCATTAATTCAAAAGTATATTTAAACGTGTTAATATTAACATAATTATTGGACTTTATCTACTATAATGATAGTACACAAAAATTGTCTTCTTTTAACTCATTAGTGTTACTTGTAGATTCTATATATTTTTATGTCAGATTCTATATCCATATAAGTTCCTCCCAAAAGTGATGTATATAAATTTGAACATCTAACTTCTCCCCACAATTCTAGATACCTCATTAAATTATTATTTTGTTCTTGATTTTATATTTTCGGTTTAGTGATATCTTCAGATGTGACGATTGAAATGATAAAAGAAGCACCAACACAAGGGATATGCTTCATTTATGAGAAGTCGCTCATCTCATCATTGAAACTCAAAGATATATGGAAGCATGTGAGGTTGCACGATAAAAAGGCAAATGAGGAATCACAACACTACAAGGCTAAACAAGTTAATTTGATGGACAACATATCTTGTCCTACAAAGATGCAAGACTTAAAGGGAAAAAGCAAAGAGACGAAAAAGAGAAGTACGAATGAGGAGACACAAGTTATACATAGTGTTTCTTCAGAAAAAGAGGAGGAACATTCTTTTCTTTCGAAAATAAGTACAGAAAGACCAGAAAAGAAAAGACGAAACATGAAATGGACAGCAGAGCTTGAGAAGAAATTAGATGAAGTTGTTCGCGAGTTAGGAGACAAAGGTAAGTGTTCAAAAATTTCGTTTTTATCCCGGCATAGAGAAGTAGAAAAAATAAGAATGGTGTTTGAGAAAGATCTTAAGTAGACATTTTCTTAATGTTAACAATTTTACTATTAAATTCTTATTAGTTGTCTTACCATGTTCATTTAGCTGGTCCTAAAAATGTGCTAGAGAGGATGTGTGTGCATGATTTGACTAAGGAGTGTCTCACCTACCGTCTAAAGGTATCCATGTATGAAAAAATATTTGTGATTCAAAGTTTTGTAAAGTTTTCCTAATATTTTTCATCTTATGTAGAAATACCGATCCCAAAAACGACAAGTTCCGGATGTACAACCAGTTACTTCAACGATCTTCAATGAGGAACATCCTTCCAAAGTGTTCAATTCAAGCAACTCCTCTGCAGATGTGAATGAATTATTTCAAGGAGCATACAGACCTCAACCATTAGAGGTTCCTTTGGTAACTTTACCAAGTTCAAACGATTCTTCCTTGATAGAGTGTGATGAGTGGATTAATGAATTCCTAGAACTTGACGATTTCGAGCTA